GTGATTTATTCCTTTTATGGTATTCTTGGGACTGAACCCAGGGTGGCCTCTTGCATGCAAAGCAAGTGCTCTTCTACTGAACTATACCTCCATCTCTCACAGTGATTTTAATTTATACTTCTCTGGAAAAGAATGAGGCTGAATATATATGTGCACCTACTCGTCTTGCTGTTGTGCAGAATTCTTATTCTCTCTTGTTCATTTGCATTTTAAAAAATTCCAGAAGAGCAGCCGATGGGATGAGCCAGCAACAGCCTTTATGTCTGTTCCTTCTGTTTCTTCCTCATGATTACCAGTTCTGTACTAGCTCAGACGCTCAGCATCTTCAACCGGCTCATCTATTTGTAGAACTCTTCTCACTGATCTCTAAGCCTCTACCTTCCCATTTAGGAAGCTTTAGGATCTTCTTCCTAAATCTCAGTTCTGACTGATCATCGAATTTTCTAGCTCAAAATATTGGTAACTTTCCATTTTCTCCAATTAAAATCGGAAGCTCATCTGTGCTTCTCAGGTTCAAATTTACTTTCTTTTCGAGTGCTGAGCCTAATTTCATCACCATCTTTACATTAACCACAACATAACTACTGCATTTTCTTTCATTCATGCCTGTGAACCCATATGTGCTGTTATTTTATTCCCCACCTACCAACTCTAAATTGGAACAAGCTCTTTTTTTATTTTGTTGTAACATTTTTATGTATGTATGTATGTATGTATTTTCGCCAGTCCTGGGGACTGAATTCAAGGCTTGGGCACTGTCCTGGAGCTTCTTTTGCTCAAGACTAGTGCTCTACAAATTTGAGTCACAGCGCCACTTCCAGCTTTTTGTGTATGTGTACTGAGGAATCGAACCCAGAACTTCATGCATGCTAGTAAAGCACTCTACCACTAAGCCATATTCCCAGCAACATTTTAAAATTGTTTATATTTCCTTATCCTCTGAACTTCTGCTTGGTATTATTATAGTTGTGTTTTCCAGAGAGTAAAGCTATGAATGTACCGTCTTTTATTTTCCCCTTGCCATCTCAGTACCTTTTATATGCTAGGTGATGATACTTTTTGGTGAATGAATGAAATTGTGAAGTGGAAACAATCTGTTTGAAATGTCTGTATTTTTATATCTGTGTATCTGTCTATCTACCCATCCATCATAGCAGCAAGATCTTGTAGAGTTTTCAGTTATCTGCCCTGAAACGAGAGCAAGAGCTTCCATTGGTATTTTTCCTTGAGACTTTTTAAAAAACAACTTCTTACTCATTCTCCTTATATACAACATCCTTCTGGCACATTTGTGAATAATTTTACAGTGATGATATTCTCATCTTTAGGGTAATCTGACTCATATTCAAATTGCATCATATTTTACATCTGGACTAACATCAGATATTCTATACTCATCTACATGGAAGCTTTGCCTGGTTTACCAAGGAATTGCTGATTCTGGCCAAATGCCAATTGCTAATTTTAACAAAGTCATTAACAGATTTTTTACTTAAACATTGGTTTCTCTTTAAAAGTCCATATTCGCTAGAAATTCATGGAACTTTTAATTTTGGACAGGTTGTCAATGGGGGCTAGATCCAGCCATAAATCTTTCCATACTTCCCTGGCAAAATTACCTTAATGGTTTAAATTATTATGCTTTTACCCATGTTCCCATGTTCCTAATCACTGAGTTTGCAACAGGCATATCTAATAACTATAGTCTATTTTTTTAAAAATCTAGAACTAGAAGCAGTAGACTCTTTCAGTAAAGCAGTAAGTAGTATGTAGTTAAAGATGTCAGTCTTGGATATTTTGTTTGTCTTTGGTTTTTATACCCATTCCAAGATGTAAAATACATTCTCAACTCATGGGTCACACAGAAATAAAGTTTGGTATGGACTTGTCACATAGATTACGGTTTGCCATTTTTCTTTCTTTAGCAAGACTTTCTTCAACATAAGTCTAAGAAGCTTGTACCATTTGAAACCCAGGTAAAACAGCTTGGGGTACTTAACAGAGAGACAGACCCAAATGAAAAGACAATATTCTAACCTTCCATGATTCTAGCCTTCCAGCATTTGCATGTGTATAGTAAGTGTGAGGGCAACTTTTTAGCTTGGAAATATAGAGAACTAAAAATAGTGCTAGTTATACAAAGAATACCAGTTCCACCCCTATAACAGAAATAAATCTTGACAAGCTGAAATTTAATAATGTCAAGGAAATCCCATAAAGGAAATGAGGCCTCAAGGCAAACAACAAATGTAATTTGGAGAATGAGAGGTAGCTACAGTGAGGTCCTGAACATTGCTTATTAGGATATTTTTGTGCTGCTAAGCACACTCATTATTAACAATTAAATTATATAAACATAAAGGGGAAGGGAAAAAACAAATTGCTTAAATAGGGATACAGGTTGACCCATTGCAACAATGAGATGTACAAGACGCTATGTCGAAAACAAACTTTACAATTTAGGCCAGGGGGTGGGAGTGGGGGAATGTAGTTGTGGAGGTGGGAGGGAAGGGATGGTAAGGGAAAAACAAAGCAGGAGGCAACAATGCTTGATAAGACATGTACTCATTACCTTGTTCATGTAATTGTAACCCCTCTGTACAGTATTTTCACAATAAAAAACATTAAAAATTATATAAACATAAAATGGAAAGAATAAAAACAACCCAATAACTTTAAAACTCACCATTTCCTGTTTACTATATTTTGTGATTATGTGTGTTCATGAACTTATTTACATTTACCAAATCTGATTAAGGGATACATTATATAATGGTTGCTATTGACTGTGTTTCTCCCAATTCTCCATTTGTGGAGTCACACTGGCAGTTTGAAGTCATCCATGGTAATTTGATCACTGGATAACGAAAAATTATCAATTTGATTATGCACAATTATCAAGTAGTACGAACTAGAGCCTCACCTTGGAAAACTACTAGTTCAGCATTTACCAGCACATCATTGCACCTGTCTTTCTGTCTCTGGAATTTAGGTTCTATAAGGATACAGATTTTATTATAATCACTGTAGTCAGTGTTCACAACTATTTGCTTATTGAATAAATTAGTGGCTTCCTCATAACAGGGCCAGCAGGACTTTGAAAGAAACAAGATGAGAGAAATCAGGGATGGAGCCTGAGTGGGAAGGCTTAGATGGGTTTAAAATTGCTTTCTGGAAACAGCCTGCTGTGACTGTTTCATAGGGCCAGTGCATCGGAAATGGCATCTAACACCATTCAGTCTGCAAATCAAAGTCATCCCCCTCATTTCTCCACACACAGCTTTCCAGAGCAACCCCAGAGCCATTCACAAGTTTGTGACGAAAAGTTGACATTTCCTTCCCTTCTTTTCTGGTGTTCAGTGCAAGTACATGTAGGCAGCAGTGTTGATTTTATGGGCAAAGAGAGAAAAAGCTTGACTCAGAAAAATCCTAATCCTCAAAAGTCGATCTTATGAAGCCTCAAGTGAAATGGTCTATCTGTCCGTTGAGAAGGCAAGTTCAACTAGGTGACCCTCAGGGGAGGACAGGTAAGCAAAAATGCAGATCATACCAAGCATCTTGGAGGATTTACTGAAAGGTCTCAGGACTGATAGTGTTTACTGTATTGGATATCCTAATGAAGCCACTAGAGGTGTTACTTTTTGACCAGTTTGGTCACATGTAAAAAATGTTATTTGAAGACATTCTCACTGCTGTAAACGAGTTCTAATGCTTCACTTGCAGTTTGCATGGGACTTGAAGCAGCAAAACATACTGATTCTAAAAGAGGATTTTAGAATTCGGAGAGAACAATCTCTTTTTTACTTTCACTATATTTTCTCAGTGTCATTTGTTTATATAAAGAACCAATTCCAGTTGGTGAAAATGTTTACTTCATACTTCTCAGTCTTAAATGTCAGCCAGGACCAGTAATTATTAAGCTTCCATGGTGATAGATATCCTAGACACAGATGTGTAAAGATCAATTCGCAAGCCACGTGCTGGTAGCTCAGTCTGTAATCTTAGCTGCTTAGCAATTGAGAACTGAGGATCAAGGTTCAAAGCCAGCCTAGGCAGATAAATCCAAGAGACTATTATTTCCAACTAAATAGAAAAGAGTGGAAAATGGATCTATGGCTCAAGTAGTATATTACTTGCTCTTGAGTGAAAATGCTAAGTAAGGGGGGGGGGGCCTTGAGTTCAAGACTCAGTACCAGCACAAACACACACACACACACACACACAGACACACACACACACACACACACACACACACACACACACACACACACGATGAATTGCATTTCCTTCCTTCCATTCTTCCTTCTTCCCTCCCTCTCTCTCTTCCTCCCTCCATCTTTCCTCCCTTTCTCCCTCCCTCCCTCCCTCCTCTCTCTCTCTCTTTCTTTCTTTCTTTTTTCATTTTTTCTTTCTTTCTCTCTTTTTTTTCTCTCTCTCTCTTTCTTTCTCTCTCTCTCTTAATTTTTTTTTTGGGGGGTCTGGTCGTGGGGCCTGAACTCTGGGCCCTTCAGCTCTTCAGCTCAAGGCCAGCGCTCCACCAGTTGAGCCACAGCACCACTTCCAGCTTTATTTTTCCTGCTTGTGTGGTGCTGAGGAATCGAACCCAGGGCTTCATGCATACAAGGCAAGTGCTCTACCACTGAGCCACCTTCCCAGCCCCCCTCCCCCGGTCTGTCTTTCTTTCTTTCTTTCTTTCTTTCTTTCTTTCTTTCTTTCTTTCTTTCTTTCTTTCTTTCTTCTTTCTTTCTTTCTTTCTTTCTTTCTTTCTTTCTTTCTTTCTTTCTTTCTTTCTTTCTTTCTTTCTTTCTTTCTTTCTTTCTTTCTTTCTTTCTTTCTTTCTTTCTTTCTTTCTTTCTTTCTTTCCTTTTCTTTCTTTCTGCTGGTCCTGGGGATCGAACTGAAGGCCTAGGCACTGTCCCTGAGCTTTCCTGCTCAAGGTTCGTATTCTACCACTTGAGCCTCAGCTCCACTTCTGGCTTTTTTAGAATTATCATTATTTTTAGGACACCAGGACCAATGATCACCAGCTGTCCAGGTACCAAAAAAATATACTTCTGAAATCTCTTGATGTTGGTTCTGCACTCAGAGCAGTGGAGTTGCCTTACATGTGCCACTCACGCAGAAGCTCTTTTTCCTGGTTTTTTTTTGGGTGCTTAATTGGAGATATGGATCTCATGGACTTTTCTGCACAGGCTGGTTTTGACCCTTGATCCTCAGATCTCAGCCTCCTGAGTAGCTAGGATTACAGATGTGAGCCTTGCATTTTTATTTATTTATTTATATATACTAGACAATACACTCATTCTTACAAAGGACAAAGTATTCTTCATAGCTATCTAAATGGATAACTTCTGAGATAGCATTTTTCAAACCTGATTCATGAGAATAAGGACTCTGTCTCTAATATACTAGATGACCTGGCAACCTGAGGGCTACAGTGTTGGTGAGGGTAAAGATGAGAACAGCTCTGCAGGAGAGGATTATAATGTGAGCATGCCAAATATAGAGTACTTTTGTCATGTCTTTCTTCCCCCTTTATTTGTAGAATGGTGATCTAAAGTAGCAATACATGTTACTTTAGTTTAATAACTAAAAATACATGGTTGTGTGAAAGGATTGTTTTTAATACCCTTTCAATTTATTTTCTCTTTAAACCAGAAATACATTTCTCCCAGTTAAATCTCAGCATATAATCTGTAAAGCATTGAGGAGCTGATGTTTATTTTTTTGAAGCAGTCAAGACATTTCACAAATATATTTTCTTATTTTTGTGTTCTAGATCAACAAAAAGTACACAGTGATAAGAAATTTAATTGTCTCCTGGTTGTGGAGGATGACATTAAAGATTAGATGAAGATACAATCAACAGCAGCAATATGCTTTAAATGCTTCATAAGGTACCTAATTTAGAAATAATTTGGATTAGAACAGCTTAAACTTCACCCCCAGTGATTCTTCTTTGCAGTAGGTCATTACAAACATATGTGCTTGTGTGTGTGTGTGTGTGTGTGTGTGTGTACACAGGTATTATCCTTTCTTTAAAGCAGGAACAGTGTCCGTGATCCATCTTGCCCTGGGAGATGGCTGGATAACAAAAGTATTCCTTGCATTGCTTTCCTTAATAAAGCCTTCCTTGCATTACTTTTGTTTTCCTTTAATAAGAAAGACAGAAGAACAATCCTGTATCCCTGCATGCTTGGAAAGGCTCCTTTTACTACTAAGTATTCCTAATGATTCATAAGATTCTGAATTTTTGTTTCTTAAAAGTGACACGTTTAAGGAAGGTTTTTGTGGAAGCAAAATAATAATCTTGATGCTAATAAATGCTTTGTATAATTTCATTATGTTGGATGATGAACATAAAAAGTTGTATTAAGGAAGATAATTTATTTGTGAAAGCTGGTTGTAACTAGGGACTTGTGCAATGAACATGTGATATATGTATTTTAGAGTTTGGAAAGAACTGTGGAAGTGAAAATCTCTATGATTTCCTTCCATCTTTCCAAGATTGAAGTTCTTTTGTTAGGTTCATAGATTGCTGTATATATATATATATGTTTGTACATACATGTATATATATGTACATACACACACACACACACACACACATATATATATAAAACTCCCATATGTAGTGTGTGTAAATTTCAAGATGTAACAAAAAAATAACTACTGAAGTTAATAGTTATGTTGTGGAATCTAATCTTGAAGCTCAGTTAATAAATATTTGTGTTAAGTGTATTGTTCCTCAACAAATATGGTAAGGATTTTGGTTTAAAATAAATTTGTGCATATATGTGGATAAATAATGTATACATGAATATATACATATATAAGCATATATAATGAGAAGTCCAGGAAAGTTTAATAAATGCAAACAAAATATATTATAAATTCTTCTAGATTAGACAAAGGAACACATATTTTTCATGCAGCATCTTTTCAAATAACTAATTAAAATCATAGATTAAAATTGAAATATTTAAATTTAATATTCAGCACACAAAATTGAATTTTAAAATGATTATTTTCTTAAAATATTAAAAGTCATACAAATTTTGATGACTAATTTCCCTTTGAATAACTTTAAAGAAATTTAGTTGATTTATGGCATTTTCTTCATAGTATTATACGCATTGACAGTGCTAATACAATGAATCAAAATAGCATTGAATGATTCAATCAGGAATAAAGAAACCAGTAGAAAAATGTTCAAAGAAAATATGAGCTATTTAAGGCATGAGCCAGTTCTTAAATTGTTTCAGTCTCACAAATAACTCATGTGCTCTTTAGCTACCAACCCTATGCTGGGTAGTGAATGCTCTAGACATCCTTCCTGTCTTCACAGATGAAGTGGCTCTCTGTGTTCCCAGAATGTGTACTATTCATTCCTGTCCTTTTAGTACCTTTCACATAGATTAACACAGAAACATTAATCAATAGCTTCATCAAGTAAAATTTTTGTTGTCAGACTGAACAATTAAAAGTTTGGAATCACTGTGTTGAGTCATGTTTGGAGTCTTAAAAGTTTTGTCAGTTGAACACAGGTATAGGATCTCTTGAACTTGCTAAAACTACAGCAAGGATGCAAATGATTTAAGAATATTCAAATAAAATTATTGCAGTTGAAGCTTACTATATTAAGCATTCTCATTAAGTTTAATGCTTAATAAAGTAGCAAGAGCAGGCATCTGGCAATAGCACTGTGATCTTGGACAGGAAGCCTACCCATTTTTTGACCTTAAAATTTCTCCCACTTTAAAATGAATGCAAAAGAAGCATTTGTAGCCTGGAATTTCATGTGGTCTTAAAGGAATCCTTGAATTACTTACAATGGAATATAAAAAATGATACTAGAAAGTTAAAAAATATATTTTACTTTGAGAGGGTCCATTAGATATAAATTATCTCAAAAGCTTATTTTGCCTGGAAGACATAGTCTTCAGATTAATATGCAAGAAAAATCCATCTGTGATAAAATCTAAAAAACAAACTGTCAACTGTTATAAGAGAAATGCTATTCCAGATTGTTCCTTCCTTTACATCCTAATAGAATAATTAACTCACAAAGTAACTCACAATCATTTAATAATAACCACAATATATTCTAAACTGAAGTAACACCAGACAATAGTGAGAGACATACCTATATCTTTCTTTAAGAAACCCACCACCTAGTTAGACCAATCTGGTCTGATGAAATCAACCCAGTGTTTTCATCCATAGTGGTCTCGGAAATGAATTTTGCACCATGGAAAATTACAGGGAAGCATATTTAAATTATATTGGCTTTAACTGAAAAATATTTCCTCAGATCTATTAAAATGTATCATTTTCATGGTATAGTCTAACCCATTTATGTATGGCATATTATACTTATGGATTGACTTGATGCCAATAGCAAAAATATGTTAAATAATATAGAATCTTTCAACATTAAGGATTATTTTATTATAGAAAATAAACAGAGACAAATAATTGTATTGCTGCTAACCAGTATTTAGTTTAGATTTGAAAAAGTTGCATTAGAAAAACAAGACTCATTCTAAAGTTACTTGCTTTATTTTAGTGGTCTCAGGTCTAGCAGAATGGTCCCCCCAAATACAAAAACAACTGAAAGCTGGACAAAACACAGTATATCACAATTAGTTCTCAAGTGTCCTGATGTTACTTCTGAGAAAAAAAGGCTAACTATCTGCTACATGGGTAAGGAAAGTGAGCAAATAACCCAAACAAGACTTAGTTGAAAAATGAGGAACCATGACTGGGTAGATGAGCAGGTGGGGTGGCAGGAACAAGGACAATGTCTGAGGAACATTTGTGTCACAGAATGTCTTGTTTGGCTGAAGCAATTCAGAGAAATGTCCAAGAGTAATAGTGTAAGATCACAGGGTAGGTCTATGTTTAGTTTTCTGAGGAATCTTCAAACTGCCTTCTATAGTGGTTGTGCTAGTTAACATTCTCAACAAAAAATGTAATAGGGTTCCATTTCCCCACTTCCCCACCAGCATTTGTTGTTTGTTTTTGATGATGGCCATTTTTACTGGGGTGAGGTATAATTTCAAGGTTTTTGGATTTGCGTTTTCTTTATGGTCAGAGATGCAGATCGCTTCTATCTGTGTTTATTGCTTGTTTTTAACTTTAACTTTTGAGAATTCTCTATCTCGTTTGCATAGTTGTTAATTGGGTCACTGATTCTTTGGGGATTTAGTTTCTTGAGCTCCTTGTACATTCTGGAAGTTGGCTCTTATCAGAAATACAGCTTATGGGATCTTCTCCCATTCTGTTGGCTGTAGTTTGTAACATAGTAACTATATCTTTCACTGTGCAGAAATGTTTAGCTCCATGCAATCCCATTTGTTAGTTTTCTCTCCTATTTGTCGGGACTCTGGAATTCTACTCAGAAAATTCCTACCTCTACCAGTAAATTCTAATGTTTCTCTTACTCCTTACTGTAGTAGTTTCGAGTCTTACACTGAGGTCTTTGATCAGTTTTGAATTGATATTAGTACAAGCTTACAGATAAGGTTTCAGTTTCACTCTTCTACACGTGGATGTACCGTTTTCCAAACTCCATTTGTTGAACAGCTTTGTCCAGTATATTGTTGGTTCCCTTGTCTAATATCAGGTGACTCCAGATATATGATTTTATTTCTAAGTCTTCTATTATGTGCCATCGATCTTCAGGTCTGTTTTTGTGTCAGTACAAAGCTGTATTTTTTATAGCTCTGTAGTAAAGTTTGAAGTCTGGAATTAAGATACCTTCAGCAATGCTTATTTGCTCAGGATTGTTACTATTCAGAATCTTTTGAGGTGCTGTATGAATTTTTTTCATTCGTGGGGCCTGAACTCTGGGCCTGGGTGCTGTCCTCAGCTCTTCAGCTCAAGGCTAGCGCTCTACTACTTGAGCCACAGTGCTACTTCTGGTTTTTTCTGCTTTTGTGGTGTTGAGGAATCAAACCCAGGGCCTCATGCATGCAAGTCAAGCACTCTACCACTGAACCACCTTCCCAGCCCTTGTATAAATTTTTGAATTGTTTTCTCTAGCTTTGTGAAGCATGCAATTGGGATTTTGATGAATATTGAATTGAGTTGTAGATTGCTTTTAGGGAATATAGCAATTTTCATGATAT